AGACATTTGTTCCATCTTATTGATGAGACATTGAGGCTGAGAGAGTGCTTATGACACTCTGCTAGGCATTGGAATTGCAGGCATGAATCAAGTGCCACCTACGTGTGTTCTTCAGCGACTCAGAACACTGCTGTCAGGGAGAAATATCTTTAAACACAGACTAGTAGTTCTCACTGGTCAAGGCAGGAGGTAGGGGTAGGCGCATACATTAGGCAAAGCCTAAGCCTATCAGAACTATCTGGAGGGCTTTGGGGAAAGCCAGAAGGCTGGACCCCACTCCTGGAGCTCTGATTCAGTAGGTGGGGCTCAAGAAATTGCACTTCCACCGCCAAACTCTGGGATTAGTAAGAATTCCCTGAGACTTCGGGATTAGGAAAAATTCTTCCATCTTGCAGATTTGGAGGGTACAGAGGACGTATTCCTTGGGACTCATTTAGGTTATGAGACACATCTTGCCAAGCCGGTTTCCCCTGGTCCCTTGGAGAAATCATCCCAAAGGTCCACACTGTCTAATCTGGAGTGTCCCCACAGGTCCGTGGCTTTTTCAGTGTAAAATTAGAGTCTTGAGTCTGGAAGAGTCCTTGCTCCATTCATTGCTGAGGTAAGTATGGAGCAAGGGACTCCTGGTGGCCTGTGTGACAGTCACCATGAATGGCAGAGCCAGGAGGAGAGGGCAAGTTCCGGGACTCCTCATCTAGGGTTCATTGCCAACCTCACCACCCTGCTTCTTGCCCCCATTTCCGTGGGGCCTGCTGAGCAGTTATTTCCTCAGCAAGTTATATTACTCCTAGCCCCCGCCCCCAGGTCCTACAGGCAGCCACGAAAGGGTTAACTGGAGTTGGACCAGGAGCCTGAGCCAAGTACAGAGTGTCCATTGTGCACCCGCCCCTCCGCCCCCTCCGGAGGAGTCACTGACTTCTGGAATGTGACAAGGCAAAAGGTTTTCACCTTGCCTTGGCTTCCCTCCTCTGTTGAGCGTGCGTGTGGGTGCGTGTGCTCACGCTCACATGTTGGCAGGGGTGGCCCCTCAGGAGAGCTCTCACTTGTCTCCAGACTCACCAAAAAAGTGAACTGTGAGTTTGGGGGTGGCAAGTACGTGCCCGGAGAAGACCAAAGGAGAACAACAGCTTTGTGTGCTGGTGAAGTAAACAGACAGGTTAGGTTTCTTTGCTCTTCACTTTTGAAAGCTGCTTTTGGTTTTTTTAAGGTGAGGGGTGCATGTGGACTGGATGCTGGGGGGCTGGATCACAAAATCCTCAGCCTAGGCCAGGAATCTTGCAGAGGGGCACTCGGATGGGCTGCGCTGCGGGTGGAGTAGTTGGAACCGCAGGACTTGGAATAGCTGTCAGGGGGCCGATTCATTTCCATTCAGAAAGAAACTTGAAGTCCTTCAAGGGCCCAATCCTGCACTGTGTGCTGAAGCAAATGTAAGAGCTGTATAGCCACAGTCGGGCTCAGCCCACAACTGACCTGCAATCGAGTAAGGAAAATAAGCTATGTGTACTCGAAACAGCAAGAAGACGATGCAAGACTAGTACTTAGGGGCAAGCTATACAGCCGGGTGCAGTGTCAGGCAGGCCAGGGCATGGATGCTGCAGTCCAGAGTTTATAAAATGTTGCTGTGCACACAACTCCAAGGTTGGGCTTGGGCACAACCTTGAAATATGGGAAGGCTTGGGATCTGTTTGTTTGTTTGTTTGTTCATTCCTTCATGCAACAAACATTTGGAGAGGGCCAGCCGTATGCTGGTCATCGCATGGGTTGGTGGCGGGGGATATAAGAAAAGATTCTGTAAACATAGAATTGGAAACAATTTCCGTGTGTGTAATTCCACTGTGGAGATAGGTTTGACTTGAACAGGGAATGAGAGTTGGTGGCTGATGAGCCCTAAGACTGGATTCTTAACATGAGACCAGTGCGCAGACTCTGGAAGTGAGGTTGTTCCTGAGCACAGGGCTGATATGAAACTGCATTACTGTTTGATCTCTGGTATTTATCATGTCATACTCAGCCCGCCCTGGTTCAGGTCCTCATGCAACGAGAACTGAATTTCAGCTGAGCGTCCTCATGGTTCTCCTGCCTCTAATATCAGGTTCCATTAATTCATCCCTTACACTACATGCCGAGATTATCTTCCTGCAGCACAGCTTTGGTAGTGCCCCTCTCCTACTGGCATCCCTTAAATGGCTTCCCATTACCTGTACGATAAAATCCAGCTCATTAGCATCTCCTGCAAGGGTGTTCGTGATCCGGCTGTCACCTTTTGTCTCTGGCTTTACCTCTCACTAGGCCCCATCTCCTATTGCACCTCCTGGCTGAACATCAGCATTGTCTTCCTGAGCATGACCCTGCAAGCTCCTGCCCCAGGCCTCATGCGGTCCCTTCTCTCCTCCTTCTTCCCACTTTCTCTGTCAAAGCCCCTGAAGGTCAGAGCAGCATTCTGTGCTCTCCTTGAAGCCGTCCTTGGTACTTTCCCATCTTTTTAAGTCCACCTTGCCCTAGTGGGAAACATTTTCTCTCTCTCTTTCGTTTCTCTCCTCTACTAGAGGACATGTATATATCTGCTCTGTTTTGGTTATTTTCTAAATCTCTTTTCAAAAGTATAAGCTCCCTGAGGATGAAGATTGTATTTCCATTGCCCCCCCCTCCCCAGGGTCTTGACAATCCGTTGGGTTTTCATTTTTTATAGACTTCTTACGACTTGAGGTTTATGTTGTATAGTCTTCTACGTCAATTACTTAATGATTTACATCATCAAACATAAGGAACTCTGAAGGGAATCTTCTTTTTAATGGAAGACACTGTCTTCATAAGACACCCATTTCACACTGCTGGCCATTACTCTAAAGTTAGATTTCACCTTATTTTATGTCATCGCAGGACCAAATGGATTTAGTTTAGGAACTTTTAGTGGAGAACTTGCCTCACTTTTTCCCCCGACACAAGGATAACTTCGTAGGTATGTAGCAGGGAATTAAAATGTAACCTTGAAGGTTCCTGCCAGAGGAAGTAAACTGCTGGACACTACCACCACACAAAAAACATGGCGTGCAGTTTGGATGGATTTGGGGTACAAGCTGAGAAGGGTCCGTTGGACAATTGCTGCTTGACAAACAGGAACACGTTGTAAGGCATTTGGATGTCTCCTCCCCCAGCTAGTGTGGCACTCAATGCCAAAATGAATGTTGACTTGAATACGACTTTTTTAAAAAGTTATATAAAGTTTTGGGGAGTTTGGCAGATCAGTCTAGATGAGACAAATAATCTTCTATGTAAAAAAAAACCCATCAAGTGTTGTCTGGTCTATCTGCCCTCCTAAGTGTGCCCCTTTTGCAGCCTGGGGCACAGGTGGCTGTTCAGTCATTATGAGACAGATTCCGTGAAGATGCTCTGACTCTCACTCCGACAGCCTCTTCTCTTCTAGAAATGCTGCGTTCATTGGGTTTTCCCCTAAGAGGAAGCAGTTGTAAATGTGTCTTTCTGTAGGGCCGAGCAGTTTTCAGGAGCCGAGTGTGCGCCTGGGCTTCTCTGGGGAGCAGGTTCATGTTGGAGCCCTGGCTGCCTTGCTGGCTAGCTTCCTCACAGGATGTCAGCTGAAAATGTACGGATTCCAGAGGGAGAAAATACGTGTCCGGTCTCCAGGCTTCATTTCTGGCTGTTCTGAATGTGTCTTTGCAGTTGTTGTTGGTCATTTTCTGGCGGGCACATTTGCTGGCTCATACCTTACATTGCTAGGCTCCAAGGCAGAAACTGAAGGCTTATAGTAATGTCTTCTGCTGGGGAAACCTCAGCATTTGGAGCCATTTAAGAAGGCTTGAGTATTATCTCACCTACAGCCTCAGGGTGGAAGGAAATGATGTCTTGAAGTTTTGTGTGGCCCCAGGGCTCTCAGTTTGCCCTTGAGGATGAGCATCGGGCTTCCTTTGGGGCTTTGAAAATAGTGAGTTTGAAATTGGGAATAATGGGACATGCAGTGAATAAGGGTGAGGAATAGGTTAGCTGATCCAATGATGGTCTGAAGAGAACCTGATTGGTGTTTCTGGTTTCCTCTTGGAGGAAGCCAGAATCAAAGATCCTGAGTCTGGGGACGGGTGGGGAAGGGGAGTACAGGGAGAGCTGTTCCTGACATTTCTAAAAGCTTGTGAAATGCTCCTTCTCTCTTTTTCCCTTTTTTGTTGCCATGTAGACAGAATGCCCCTTTGCTTAAGGACCAGAAGGGGAATTCGCACAAGGGGAATTAAAACTGTCTCAAATGGATATTTTTATCTAAATAATTGATAATGATTAAATATCTTTTGTGTGGGCAGAAACATTTTTAGCGATTGTTTTGCATTAATCACAGCATCAGAAGTGATTTTCCACTGAATTCTTTATGTCTTCCTCTTTCAAATCTGCATCTAAGCTTTGCGTTTGTTTTAAGAAATAAAGATAATTTTGTGTAATTGAAATAGTCTCCCACAAAAAGATGATAAGGAAAGAATGGTCAGGAGGTTAGTTAAGTGTCCTTCCACCAAGATGATGGAGGACTTCACCCTGGCAGCTCCAGGGGTTGTGTTCAGCTTTGCAAACTGTTCTTCACGTGTGAGAGGGAAGTCGTGCAAGAAGCCAGCCCTGTGCAGTTCCCACAGACCTGCCTCAACACTTCAGACTTCCCTTTTGTCATGGTTGATGGTGACTCAGCTAGCTGTGGCTTCAGTATAGGAAACTTCTAGCTTGTTATTGGACTGGAGAACTGGCTTCTCTTATCTTTATTCTTGGACCCACAGCCATAAAAATTAACAATTCAATGAAGGGCTATGTGTGTGTATGTGTGTGTTTTCCCTCACTGCCAATAGAAGCCAGTTTGGGGATATGTTTGATTTTTTTCCCATCACTTTTTTTTTTCTTTTTTTTTCCCTGATGGCCATAGATTAGATGGCAGGGGCTTCTGGGACTTAGATTGATTTACTTTTGAGGTCATTTTCCTTCCTGTCACGACTAATTATCTCTCTGCTTCTCAGTTGCAGATCTGACCTCTTCTGAACACGTGGCCGTGTCTCCATCCCTGGGACTCTGAACCCAGCAGCTGGACCACTTTGTCCTTGGGATTTTGGGTGTCCTCTCTTCTCACCTTTCCCTTGTCCCCTCTTCCCTCCTACCTCCTGAGAACTCCTGAAGACTGTAGGATTGTCATGGAGTCCAGGGAAATCTTAAGCAGCTCCCGGCAAAGGGGGGACGAATCCGAATTTCTGCCTGTCTCCTCGGCCAAGCCCCCAACTGCTCCTGGCTGTGCAGGAGAACCTTTGCTCTCTGCTCCAGGAACTGGGAAGGGGATCCCAGTGGGCGGAGAACGCATGGAGCCAGAGGAGGAGGATGAACTGGGCTCAGGGCGGGATGTGGATTCCAACTCAAATGCAGACAGCGAGAAATGGGTTGCAGGAGATGGCCTGGAAGAACAAGAATTCTCTATCAAGGAGGCAAACTTCACAGAGGGAAGTCTGAAGCTGAAGATTCAGACCACCAAGCGGGCTAAGAAACCCCCAAAGAATCTGGAGAACTATATATGCCCACCTGAGATCAAGATCACCATTAAGCAATCTGGCGACCAGAAGGTGTCCCGTGCTGGGAAAAATAGCAAAGCCACGAAGGAGGAGGAAAGAAGCCACTCCAAAAAGAAGGTAGGGAGCCCTGTTTTGTAGGTTTTTTGTTTGTTCATTTGGGCCATTCTCCTTCCAACTGTTAAAGGTCCATTTGCTTATTCCTTAGTTACTTTGGAATTCTCAATCTCTTTGATGGAACACTTAACGCCCTCCAGGAGAAATGTCTTTGATACCTTGCTATAGCGCCTAATTTATTATATCTTCTCCCCACATGAAAATCAATAGTTACTAGAATTATAATTCTGGAGCATTCCTGTTTATTGTGGAGCACCCAATTGACTGGGTCAGACCTGGCTAAGCTGGGACAAAATATTTGCATCTCTTCGTATAGTTAAGAGTGGGATGTTAAGAATTTTGGGGCAATTGTGACAGTCAAGAGCCTATATAACCTCCTTTTGGTTTCAGTCATTGCCCGAAGCCTTTCTAAAATAGGCAAGTCACTCACTGGACTACGGAAGCCGTCTTCATAGTAATTTAGGCTGTTAGAAGGGTAAGAGATCATTGCTCTGAAAACCAGTGGTGAGCCCTGGAGCTCAAGCTGGAGAAAGAAAAAAGGGGTGGGTGACTGACCCAGATCTTTGTTTGATATTTGGTTGGTTGTCCTTTTCTTCTCAAAGTCAAACCGGTAGAATGCAGTGCTCTAGGTGATTGGTGGTGTCATTTGGTTGGGAATGGATGGGTCCAGGTTCAATTGTATTTATATCACGGGAGGTTACAGTGACGTCTCTTCTTGGCAGGGGTATGGCACTCAGCTATGATGACAGAGAACTGCCCTAGTCTGGGAAGTGTTTGTCTCCAAAACTCTGGGGCTTGTATATGCCTCTGAAAGGAGCCCTGTTGTTTTCAGAAGGGTTTTGGGTTCAGGGTGGTAGGAATTCATTAGAGTCTTTGTAATTTCCCCCCACATCTTATTTATTTGAGCTCTAGAAATGATGGATTAGCTAAAAATAGCACATGTGAATGACCCTCTCTCCTTTATGACTCAGAGATAATCTGTAGTGTTTCTGTTACTCGTGGGTTTTGAGCTTCTCAGTAGTCACTTTCAATTGAACTACTAGGAATCATGTTCTTTCTTTGGTGTAGGGCTTGTGTTCTTCCTTCCTCATGCTAAGTGTTCTGGCTGATATGTTGCATTTAAAATCCAAAGACTAAAAAAAAAAAAAAAAAAAAAAAAAAAAATCCAAAGACTTGGATGAGAAGAGATTTCCTAGTGTGACCAGTGCCTTCCAGTTTGCTCAGACTATCCCAATCTTAAAACCAAAAGTCCTACAGCCAGGAATCCCTTCAGTATTGGACAAGCCAGGACAGTTGGTCGTCTCATTTTAACTTTTGGAACACACAATAATTTTTAGAAGTTGGCTTGTTTTTATAGAGCACAGAGGTAGTGCTTTCCCTCCCCCACCCCCATTACAAGGTACAGTGATTTCTGGGGTCTCTGTTGTAAAGCGAAAGATTATTTAGATGCTTGGGAAATTTTTTGAAATTCTTGCAAGAAAATGCAACAGTTTAGACCTGGAAAGTGAGACTTTCCTTTGGAGTTGGGTCTTCTCAGCTTTGAAAATGAGTATCTTTGTCTCTGGCCACTGAGATGGTCTATCTTTGTTTATTGTTGGATTTTTGTATGGGTGGACAGTCTTGAAAACTGCAGTAACTGTTTTCCCTCTGTCCCCATCACTGCCAGGATTTGAGTAACAGCCCCATAGTTTGGGGTATGCAAAGTCAAATTCATTACAGCCACAGGTCCATTCCCAAAGATAGTCTTCTGCCCCTTGGAATGCCCCAGAATGGATTTTGTGACATGGGGATGATTTTGAAGTTGCAATGCACAATGGGCTTCCATTCTCATATCTGAAATTCTCAGGCTCATCATCCTCACCCAAAAAGCTGGATGCCCTTTCTATGCTTTATTGGAAAGAGAGGAAATGTGTGACTTACCAAGTAAGTGTTTCTAAGTCTTAGAAATTGGAAGGGAGAAAAAGAAAGGGGAAGGACCAAAATTTAGCTCCCAGTGCTGCATTATGCTGACACTGTAATGGGAGGATCTACAAAATGTTAAATTCTTAAGAGCTTGCTTTACACTGTACTTCTCCACTCTTCCTGCCTTTATTTATTCCTGGAGCTGTTCCTTTCCAGAAATGAATGAATGAAGTTATCAGTACTGAGTTTTAATTATTTGATAGATGATAGGAACATTCTCTGATCTTTATCAGATTAGAGTGTTAACTTTATGATTCTCCAGACTTCTAGTTGGTTTGAAAAGAGGGAATTAGCAAAAGCAGAACTTGAGGTAGAGAGATAGAAACCTCACTTACCATTTTAGCACCATGAACTTGCAGAAGTTACTTATTTATACGAATGTGAAATATATGATTGGTAACTTGGGATGGGGAAAGGATGAGGATGGCATTTGGTAAGCAATAGATCAGTGTCTGTCTCTAAAATCTAGTATTCTGGATTTTTTTTTTTTTTAAGTAAACTCTACTCCCAGTGTAGGGCTCGAACTCATGACCCTGAGATCAAGTCTCATGCTTTATTGAGCCAGCTTGGTGCCCTCTCCTGCTTTTTTTTGTTGTTGTTGTTCTTTAATGAGGCAAGATACTCACTGAAGATGTGTGCATGGAGTGGCCCCTGGGACTCAGGTCCTAGATTGGGAGCCAGGAGGGAGGCTCTGTTGAGCTGATCCTTGAGTTGGTAGAGAGGCCCACTTGGGAGTCACCTGAATGTGTGTGCTGACTTAGAGCAGGGGTCGGCAAACTATACTCTGGCCAAATCCAGCTCCTTGCCTATTTTTATACAGCCCACAAGCAAAGAATGGTTGGAAAAAAATCAAACAAAGAATAATATTTTGTAACATGTGAAAATTATATGAAATTCAAATTTCAGTGTCCATAAATACAGTTTTATTGGACCGGAGCCACATCCATTTGTTTACATTTTGTCTGTGACTGCTTTTGCACTAAAACGGCAGAGTGGAGTGGTTGTGACAGAGACTGTATGTCCCACAAAGCTTAAACTATGTACTATCTGGTTCATACCAAAAGGAAACATAGATAGATAGATATTATATATATATATATATATATAATATATATATATATATATATATATATATATATAAACTCTTGATTTAGGGAAAGGACATAGAGTTTCAGGATAACAACGATTTTGTTTTGTTTTGTTTTTAATGATTCAGTGTCCAAACTTGGAGGCTGGGAGCAACTGGGTGTTACATCATTACGTGCTTTTCTTTTTTTTTTCTTATTCCTTTTCTTTTCTTTCTTTCTTTCTTTCTTTTTTCTTTCTTTTTTTTTTACCGACCAATTAATTTTGTTCAAGTCATTGTTTGACAGCCTTAGGCAAAGACAGCTCGTATTAGATCCCAAATGATTTTCTTTTTCATTGGTTTTTGTAAAAAGAACACTCTTTTGGATAATGATAGCATTCCTGTGTGATATCACAGCTAGTTTTTGCTAGGCTAACTGTATTTCTGCATGTTCTACTAGTTTGAGGTGAAGACATATTATGTGTGGCATCCTCAAGAGCTTTATTTCAAGTTTCAAACCTAACACCAATCCTCCAAACCAGAGAGGCATTATAGATGTTCGAGCAACATGGCTCCTTGAGTGGTAGAATGGTAGGAGGGGACCCATGGATATACCCTTTCACTGGCTCAAGGATGCATGGACTCTTTCTAACCAGGGGTCAGGTCACCTCTCTTCCATATGAAATTAGAATGGCAACTGAAATGCTATATGGAAGTGGGTTTATGATGAATGAATTTATGTGAGGTATAAGAGCAGCATTTGGTGAGTAGAGCCCGGGAAGAAAATTCAGAATGTATTCCAGGGCCTCAGAAGTATCCTTTGGATGGATGGACCTGCTTTACAGATGGCCTCAGTAAAGGCAAATTGCTTCTTACCATGGCACCAGCATTGTTGCACTTGAGACTTACCCAGGCAAGTGATGAAATAACATAAGCTTCATGTGGTTCCCTTCTAGGTCACTCCATCAAAACAGTAGAAAACATGAGACTGAATCTCTAGAAGCAAGTTCAAGTCCAGCACACGAACATAGAATATTCCAACAGTGACAGGTTTTTGAGAGGCTCTCAGCTGGGCAGAGCTTAGCAGCTCTCCTCTTTCCTGAGGACTTTCCATGGGAGTCAGGAACTCCCATGCAGGTTCAACAGCATGAGGAGAGGGGACTCTTAGACTGGCTCCCTTCAGTGACCCTGGCTGGGAGATGCGGGGTGGCAGTCTACACCAACTGGCTTGATGGCTTTGCATCTGGAGTATAACCTTATTAAAGCCCCAGTTTCTTTATCTGCCAAACAGAGGTGATAATTTCCACCTGATATAATTTAATGGAAAATTTTAGGAAAAATGGGTGATTTACAGAGCATACATTGTAATAAACAGTTCGGATTTGTGGAGCTATGTGGCAGGCCTTCCTTTTGCTATTTTATATGTATTCACTTTCACTGTTAGTCCTTATAACAGTCCTACAGGCAGATATTAGATTGAGGCTCATTTGCTTCAAAAAAGCAGGAACACAAATGGGCAGGGTTGGTGGTGGAACCCATTTCTTCTATACTCCAGAGCTAATGCTGTATTCAAGATTCAAAGTGATCACACTCTAAAAGACTGCTGGAAGGTAAGGGTTGAAGCATTGGGACATTTCTGCCACACCTTCCATGTTAGGGTGACAGGATCATAATCTGGCATTTTGCCCTTAATCCCAAGCATTTTAGGACGTTTGAGAGAAAACTCAAAGTCCCATGAGTTCAAGTCTTACTTTTTCCCTTTGTATTGCTTATGAACTTTTATTTGCTTTAGACCAAAATACAACTTCTATTTCATTTCTTTCAATTTAGTTTTCCCCTTTCCCAGCTTCATCAGAAGAACCTTTCTCCTCCAACAGCAAAGACTTTACCCTTCTATTTGCCGGTGGCCTGCTGTGGTCCTAGAAACATGCTCGAGATTTGTTCTTGGCAGTTCCCCCTACACCATCTTCACACG